CAGCTCTTCCCCCTGGAAAACAGCCGGCTGCTACGGGCCTCGCAGCGCCAGCAGGCCACACGGAAAGAAAGGAAGGAGTGTAAAATGGGCCTTTACTTTTCCGTCAATGGTCGGCTCTACCCGTGCGTTAGGATATTTTGGTCTACCCTACAAACAAAGGAGTAAAGCTCTACAAACTTTTCATTTCAGCTCCTCCTCTTTGCTACTTATATTACAATCAGGCATATATTATACTTTGACATCTGCAGATGTTTTTCCTGCCTGTCTTGCCCGCGTTATATTGCCTGTATGTGAGGGAAAAGTTCCCCCCCCCCCCCCCCCCCAACCAACACCATCTCACACACCCACACACAGAAAAACCATGCCCACTGCTTTGCTTTTTCTTTGTGCATCACCTAATCAATGCAACCTGCACCGTATCTGTCAGAGGAAGCGGGAGGCTAACGATCCCATCAGGGGCTAGAGCTAATGTCAGCTACGGGTCCGGCGTCCTCTCACCGCGGGTGCCACCATCTAGGAGTTCTGCGTTTCTAATCACATGAAGGCGAAAAGCCTTGAGCCAGCTGGCTCTCCTTTTGCTGCTGGTTGCACCAGCTGTGAATTTTTGTGTATACCCAATGCTTTCTGTTACCACACTATGCAGTAGTACGCTGGCTGTGTGCATGCTCATCTGTTCAGGGTGTCTATGTACGTGCCTGCATGCGCACACACGTTTGTGCCTATGAATCCCAGGAAAAAGTTGTGAGTTTGAGTTCTGATATTCGCTCTGCTCTAGCACCAGAGAAGCTACCCCCAATACAAAGGGCCAACACTATGGTGTTACAGAGAAGAAATCAGTTCAGGAAGTGCAGACTTTAGGATCGCAAGTGTCAATTTTCTTACCACCCCTTTGTACGGGTTAACATACAGGGCAAAAGTCAAAACAAACGTGTTGTTCTGGGTTGAATGTCAACAGTTATAAGCAATTTATCAATTGCACCTAACCTAAGAGTCAACGCTGCAGTAGGAAGATATCCTTTCTATCTGTTCTTTTAGCACTTGTGTTTCCCTGACATTCTCACGCACACAGGCACAGACACTGTGCCTTTCATTTCATCTAACTGTCAGGTAAAGCATTTTGTCCAAAGCAATTTCTGAGTTTGCTTTAATACATGAAGTAGATCTTCTAAGATGCTTTTTTCCCCATGGCATTGTTACATATCTTTTAAGGATAACGCATTGTGAGCAAGTTCTCTTCTTAATGAAGGACTGCATCTTACAAATATGTACAAACGCGCTATTTCCAGGCTCTTCACATAGGACATAGCTATGACTAGATACACAGCACTGAAGTCTACTCCATCACATGCAAATGAAAAAATGTTACTGCTCTAAAGATAATTTTCCACTGTCAAATGATAACTTTAAAAGCTGAATACTGAATACTAGGGGCATGTATTTCAGAAGTCTTTCATTTTGCCTGTAGAGAAGTACATTTTTAATTGAATAGGCATTTTTCATTTGGCTTGTTAAAGTGTACACGTTAATCATAGAATGCTGTCATTGTATGGTGAAACTGCTAATTGAACTAAATATTATAGGTTAAGTACTTATAAACTTAACATATGTGTAAATATATGCATATTAAGTATATATTTTCGACTGGTACAACCAGAATCTATACCTAATTTCATAAATTTGCATTTTGCTTTTCAAGCGAGCTGACAAAGGAATTTTGCTTTTGGGGCTTGGGTATTTAACAGTCTTGGACTATTAGACTATTTTTAAGTCCAGTGTCTATAATAGGTTTTCATACAGCATCCCTGACACTCAAGGAGGAACAATAAAGAACAGGTTTGGCATGCATTCAGCTCTGCTCTGCAGCCCTGCTCCCCCTTCCAGCTAAGACCGTCTAGTATACTTGACGCTGATCTAGGAGAGAGCTGGCCAGACATGTCTATTCAAACACATACATACGGGATCATAAACGTTTTCTATGGTAATTAAATTCATACCTTGAACGGAAAGGAGGATCGTCATGTGGGAGCACCAACATTTCCATTAGTTGTACTCATGGTCCAAACCCCTGCAAGTCTATCTTCTTTAATCCACCGCTGTCACTCTCTTATTCCTGCCACCGTAGCTGGGAACCTACCAGCAAACCAGTGTTACGTGATCTTAAATAGCATGGGTAACCATAGGGGTTTTGTAGTTTTGCTTTTCAGAAAAGGAAAGCTTTTGAGCGCCGGGATAGCCATTTCGCCAAGGCTGGTACGTTGTACAGGACTTCTCTTCATCACTGGGGTGCTTACTGTAGTACTCCACTGTGGTTAATAAAAATTTGGCAAATAAAGTTGTGGTCTACAGCCAAAATTACTGGGTCTAATTGCTAATATGCTCTCCTTGAAAATATTTTTGTCTGGCCCAATCTTGCTTTTGCTACCCCTCAGATGACATGAAGAGGATGGTGTGTGTATGATGGACAGCGAGGTCTGAAGAGGAACAGGTTGGTGAAGGGATGCGTTTTGCAGTGGGAAAAGGAGTCTAATCACCACTACCTTGCGATGTAGCCTCTACCGCAAGAGCTGGTCTTACCTGTCCTCTGCTATTAGGTCAGCTAGAAAAGAAGGGACTGAAGACAGAGGAGATAGTCTCAAAGCTGCTTTCTTCACAGCCTCCCAAAAGTCTCTGACCCTTTGCCATCAAGCTATTACAGTACCAAGGCATGGCAGCATCAGGGCAGTTCAGTGCTGCCAGAAGCACAGTGACTTCACCCTTTGTTCACAGCTAGTTTCAGCATCTCCACACTGTGGCATGTAGCTTCAGCGTGCCCTGACTGTTGCGGAGAAGATCGTTCCTAGAGCTCTATGCTGTAAAGGGCATTTAACCTATACAGATGTGCCAACTGTACCCAAACGCTGAGAGAAGGGGATGTGTCCCTTTGCTGCTGCAGGGCGAGACTTCAACTGTGAGCATCAGCTGCAGTTACTTGCCAGCAGTAACCACTAGAAGAATTTTCTTACCGTCCGAAAACACTTCTCATGCTTTCCTAGAAGTGAAGATCACTAAATTGCTTGTTCCCTTCCCCAAAACCTCAACCTCTTTCCATTTCCACAAGACTGTAATTTTGTTCTGTAATCAGTACCAAATTCTGCAGCGATGTACATTAATTGTGAGGGCAGGAGGGAACAAATGTGTATTTAATGATATAATTTTATTTTCCGTAGACTGAACCCACAGAGTATTTAGGGTCTTGTCACTTGAGACTATTCAAATGCTCCACTTCAAGCATGTGTTTAAGTGGCTGCAAAAATGAATGGCTAAGCAGACAGTAAAGGAAGCATCATATGATCTACATTTTTCAGTTCTATATTAAGGTCAGAATAAAGTTGTATTTTTCCATATTTCTGGAGCACTCACATATGAATCATATTCAAACAGTGAGAATGGCCTTGCTACAGTTTTATCTGCCATAGAATATATAGCCATATTTATGCCTTATTTAGATTTCGCTAAAAGAGCTTATGTATTCTGCTGTGTCTCTGTGCAAAGCACAATTCAGTGTCACGGACAGCCCAGGCGATCCAGCAGCTCAAATCCCATTCCCATACCCCTAACCCTCCTATTTTCAAATACCTAGTAAAAAGATTAGCTGTGCGGATCAGGCTGAAGCTGTTAAAGCGCTAAGAGGCATATGTTTTTCACTGTTAGCTAATTCCAAACACGCAAATGTGTTTTATTTCAATTTTCAATAACAAGTGGCCCTCAGGCTGCCTGATATACAAATAAAGCCAGAAAAATGAACTTTTCAAAGTCCTTTAAAGCAACTGAAAATAAGTTGATAACAAAGTGCTACAGTAGCCTTAGCCTCATTCTCTTCTACCACATGAATACTCTAACAGACGCCCCATTATTCATCGGGATGCATCGCTACTGTTAAAAAGCTTTCGGGTAATGTTTTCAGAATCCTCCATTCTAGTCCTAAATCTACAGTGCCATGTAAATTCCAAATCCTTACATGCAATTTATCAGCAGACTATAGATCAAAATAGTTATTGAAACAGGTTCTATGTCACCGGCCTATTTTAAAGGTCACTTTGCTACTGATGAGAAGAGAACTGCAGGATCCATTCTCACAGAGAGAAGCTAATCGCTCAACATTTCTTGTAAGCACACTCCGACTCTTCCAAGCTGTTCATTACCATTTTACCCTGACTGTAATGGAATTATTTAACATTTAAAACCATCAGACACACCCCATCACAAAGCTCTGCAGATGTTATTGTGTTTAAAGTATCACTTCTTCGAGTGCAATAGACCAAATAACAGTGCTCATTTCTCATTTTATATCAAGTGAGAAAAACACTGTGACTATCATAGCAATTTTTATATTTCCTAAGAGACTGCAGATACTTAGATGTCTACCACAGATCTTCTTTAATATTGACTTTCCCTATTCTCCCTTTCTCTCTCTCTCCCTTTGTTTGCTTGTTTCTTTAAGCCAGGCCCTTGCATCTGTGAATCATCTGTTTGACAATAGTGAGCTATTCAATACTTCATTTACACCACATGAGGGGGTTTCAAACTGTGTAGGATGCTAGAGTTAATTTGGAAGTCCTCCTGTTTGGAAATGAACCAGCAAGCAAACTGATAAATTTCTTCCACTGAGTAAAATCTTACTGGGGCAACCTGGTACAGGAGAGTTTATAAGGAAAGAGATGAAACATCGTGCACTAGAAAACAGATGGAAGATGAGTTTTAAAGACATAATCCGATGTTCCCTGAAATCAAATAGTGTTAGCTGCAGACTTCCCTGACCTTTGTCTTGTCTGTAAGGACTCAAATAAAATATAATATGATTTAATATTATTTCCATTAAAATCTCCTTGGACAGGATTAAGCAATCATTATTCCCCTGCAGAGCTTTGAGAAGCTTTGCTGGGCTTATTGCTCAAAGTTAATTGAAGAGTCAGGAAGAATTACCTACTAAAATAAACAAATTAAAACCTTTTTTCCTTTCAAATACCATAACTTCTCAGTTTTAGTATACACAGATCTTTCTAATGTGGGCTTTTTCTGTGATGGCTTAAAATCCAACCAAAATCACATAAGGTAACTAGTATCCTGTTCTAGGTAACAAGTATATTTTTGTACAGTGTTTCTTAAAAAAAATGTAAATTAAAATGAAGCTGGAAAGTTTTGCAAGGCTTTTTGCAAGGCTTTCCGTATAGTTGGAACAAGGAAGAATCCTATCTACAACAGAAGACTCTCTAGATCTGTACTAAGATGGACTGTTTTCTCAGGAAATCCCAGGTGCTAAAGCCTATTACAAGCAACTGTTAACTAATTAATCCAACTCTAGGATTCTCAGGCAGCCTGTGCTCTCCCACAACCTGCACCCAGGCATTGCAACAATAGACCACAAATTAGATTGACTGGAGAACACAGCGCAAACAATAGGGATGCTCCTCAAAGAAACAGTCCAGGCTTAGTTAGTGTACAGGACAGAAAGGTGCCATACAAGAAAACTTAGATGGTGCTATTAAAAAAAAAAACCCAATGTAATTTAGAAGGAGGAAAAAGGTATTTGGAAGGATTAATGCTTAGTGGGATGACTGCGAGGCATGCCAGTACCTGGGCATCCTCTAAGCTCACAGCTGTCCCCTCTGCTGTCAGAGGTGGAAGCACCGCAAAGGCTCAGGCCACTTTTATTCTCCTCAGAAACAGATGAGAACCACATGTACATAAACATACATTGCTGGTTAGCTTTTCTGTGTATCACTTCTAAGTCTGAGTAATGTACATAAAAAGGACCAAATGCAGCAGATCCAGAGAATTTCACTATATTACACTTATGTTATACATGACCTTAGATTCTGACTAAGGTCTGCCTTACAGATTTTGCTTTTTCATAGATTTGCATTTAGCAGTTTAATACTTGAGCCTTTTCTAGAAAATCTTTTCTATTCCTATGCAGCAAGCTTTGAACACTTTGCTCTTATAAAACGGCTTTTATCTGGCATTCACATAGCTACCTTCAAGCATCTGATAATTTAAACTTTAACCTGGGCTGAAATGTTTACGGTGCTCCAAGGCTAGTAGAACCTGTGCCCAATCTGAATGATTTAAGCCTATGCACTGGGGCAGGAAGCATGGAAGCATGGAAGAGTGGAGCCAGCAGGAAGGGATTTTCCTTCTTTCTCCCCACAGTTCCCCCACCCAGCGAGCATCAGCTGGCCAGTGCCCCCCTTTCTCTGTTTTCCCCCCGGGGAGCTCTCTGGAGTTGGCAGGGGAAGGCAGGAATCCCTGTTGCCCCTTTACCTCTCCCCGCTGTTTAACTCTGACACTGGGGAGGAAGACAGGCAAAAGCAATCCCCTGGCATGGAGACTTTTGTTTATGGAAGTATTTGAAAAAGAAGAACACAGCCGACAGCGTCATCACTGCCGGCGGCGGC